CTTTTATTTATTAATGAAGCAAGTTTTACTTTATAGAGGCATTTTAATTTGGATGACACTTACAATAATTTGAAAGAAAAGGGAATCGGGTGAGAAGTGATGGCATGGGGATGAAATATTAAATAATAAGACGTACGTGGTTAAGGAGCATAGGGTCGAAGTAAAGGAAGGCTGAAATGGAGAAAATAAGCAAGCCCAGGGATCAAAGCCATATGTGATAGGTTCGGTTGATTGATTCGCGGGCTGGGGGACGAATACGGCGGCTTCCTTATGGAGATGGAAATCCCAGTACATCCTCCCACACACTCTTGCAACTCTACCCACCAACCTTTTTCCTTTCTCCTCTCTTTCGAATAACTTCTCTTTCACACCTTAGCTTGAATAGCTTAATCTAATATTCCCTGACCCACACTCCCAGCCCATACGATGTGAATGCATTTCCACATAGTTGCCAGCAAAGTTCTTTTATATTACTTTCGGTTCTAATTATAAGATCTCGTTTGTAGATTATAAATAATGTTTTGTAATTAAGACCGACGATAATATATACTCTTCCAGTCCTAAATATAAGACCCTTATACACACTGGTACAAGGGTCTTACATTTAGGACCGGAGGAGTACTTGTTTCGGTTGAGGGGCTCTCTCCTCTTCTCGGCTCTGTCCCACGGCCTATTTCAGGGAAGCCATCATCATGCATTCAAATTGATATTGCCTGGCTGTGCGGATTCGCTACTCTTTCTGATTCTGACTTTGCAAATTGAAGTCTTTTCCGTCGCCTTGGATGTAATAGCGCACAAGTTTGACAAGTTTTTGGAGTTCAAATCCGGCATCTTGCAATCAAAATCAGCTCCTTTTTTAACTTCTCCGTCCCGCGTAGAAACACAAGTGACTGCCTCTTCACCAAAATATCTTAATATTCAGCAAGTCATCTCTGAAATGAAATTTACTGTCCATGCGAGCATGGCAGGTAATATCATATTATAACTCACAGCATAAGGAAGCGGAGGGTATAATGTCTCTGATTCCGGAAACCTGAAAGCAGCTAATAATACCAATTTTATGGTCAGACCAATGAAGGTTTTTTTTTAGCTACGCATAGATATACTTTTATTCAAATACTTTTAAACACTAATATGAATATTTTTTGAATAAAAATTTAAATATTGGTTCACTTTGTCATGAGAGACTAGTCTTTTTTCACTGAGTCAGACTGTTAATTTTTGAATGAAGTCTTTATTTTGAAAGGAGTTTTTTTTTTTTGGGTGCAGAAGGGAGGTGATCCATATGCAATGAGGGCCATGGTTGGCGTCGTGGTAGTCAATCTCTACCCTGAGCCCATTCCACTTCTTATAACTGTGGGACAACTTAACTGAGGAATAACTGTATAAGGGGATGTTTGGATAAAAACTAAACCATGGTTTCAGAAGTACTTTACGGATTACGAAGTAAATATGTGGAGGAGATTACCTTGTTTTGCGGAAAAGTGCTTCTGAAACCATGGTTTTGGATTTCCCAAACACCCCTAAGTATGATTCAGCAGAAGATGCTCTTGACATTCAGCACTTTAACAGTACATGTTTTTAGAATTAATCAATAAACAGACCCGGCATGGTCACAATGAGGGTTAGGAATCTTAACTGCTCCGTTATCTTTGAACATGATGTTTTTAAATATTTATGAAAAAAAAAAGAAGGGAAAGAATCCCAAGAGCCCAGGCGCGAAAGAAGAAGCAAAGAGGAGAGAAGAGGGCAGTTGAAATGGGAACACGGTGAGGAAGTGAGGAGATTGGCTGACTGGGCATTTTGGGTAATGGGTCGGAGCGCGTGTAATTCAAATTTGGGGAGTAGTTGACTGGGGAGTCCCAACCTTGGATGTTGTGTGTTGCATGCGATATGCCCTCCCGCTTTGGAGGGAGGGAGCTTTACGTGGGAATTGGGGTGGTGGGGATTCGCTTGGCCAAGCCCACATGGCCGGGTCTCCACCCGTGACTGAAATTCCGCCACGTAAGCAAATCGGTATCCCCACGATGCTCATGTGCCACGTAGACCGCCACGGAATAAATATTAGAAAAATATCCCACAGGAACCATTAAAACAACCCAAAGGATTTCGGTATAGACCACACACAGCTTTTGATTCCCTCGCCACGAGACACCTGGCGCCCCCTCCCACCCCAAGCACCCCCGCCCCTCGCTTTGCCGCTGCTTTCATTCCCATACCGCCCTTTCTTCCCATCTTTCCCCCATTGACTATTCTAACCCTCGCCTCTCCTCTTTTTTTTCTCTTGGAAAATCATATTAGAGGTACCTATATTTTTTTTAATTTTCAATTTAGTACCTATGTATTTTTTGTACTTAACTAAATCTTTATTTTTTCTCTATTAACATCATTAATCCTTATGTAGAGACTAAAAATATCAATAGAACAAAGTTATAAGAGCTAATGTTGCTAAAAAGATAAAATTAAATGTTTAATTAAAGGGAAAAAAACACATAGGTACCAAATTAAAAATTGAGAGAAAGTATGGGTACTTCCAATATGGTTTTCCTTTTTCTCTTTCTTTGGTTCCTTTCAATGCCCAGTAAAATTTGGATGGATTGGATGCTAGAGCTAATTAGTTACAACAAACTTTACATTTAAGGTATAGAAATATTAAATTAAATTAATTTTTTTTCTCTGCCAATAAGTCATGCAGTCTTCGAGACTAACGATAGAACAGGGAAAATAGCATGATTACCCATCATAAGACCATGGATAAATGGCTCTTCTTACATCTGCTAGAGTGTTTTCTTTCTGTGACGATCTTTATCTAACCTGGTTTCGTTCAAGTTAAATGCAAGTCTTTATCTTTTCAGAAATATTTCTTTCCTTTCCTTTTATTTCACCCACTAGACTTTAAAGCAGATTAGTGAAGTCCACAGAATAATATTGTACTGCCCAGTGTTAAAAGTTTTTTTTTTTTTTGGGCACCGAAGCCTAGTTTTAAAAGTTAAAAGCACATTATTCCGTGAAACTTTCAAGGGCCATACCAGCGGTTATATATCTAATCATCTAAAGTGCTACATAAAGAATAACGAAGCTGGGAGGCTGTATTTCATTTCATTTCTAATATTTTAACCAAATAAATAAATTTTTTTTATGATTTTGCAAAAAATCAAACATTATCTCCGAGTCATCTCTTCCAATAATAGAGAGATGTTACGACAAATGAGAAGAAAAAAAAAGTTTGATAAGCCATTCATTAGATAATCCCCTTTTCTTGCAAGAAAATAAAACTGGCGATGAAATCGCGAATCTAATGGTCCAGACATTTTCTTGGTGGGCAGGGAGAGATTGGATTTGCGAGTAAAAGACTAAAATATCAAGCACAGTAAAGCTGAGAGGGCAGTTTCGGGATATGGCGGAAAATCAGGGATTATTTTTATAGGTTTCGGCAACTTACACTTTCTTTCCCTTCCTTCCATCTCAAAACTCACCCGCCCTGCACTTGTAGAGAGAGAAAGAGGAGAGAAAATTCCCGAAGAACCAGGGAGAAAGAGAAATTCAGGAGACCAAATATTATCCTAGTTTTAACGGCAGGAGATGAAGAATTGTGAGCTGTGCAAGGCGCCGGCGAGGACCTACTGCGAATCCGACCAAGCTAGCTTGTGTTGGGAATGCGACGCTAAGGTCCACGGAGCCAACTTCTTGGTAACCAGGCACTCCAGGACCCTGCTATGCCATGCGTGTCAGTCTTTGACTCCATGGAAAGCCTCCGGTGCCAAGCTCGGAAACACCCTTTCTCTTTGCGAGAGTTGTGCCGGCGGAATGAAAGATGGTAGTGACGAGGGGGACGAGAGTGAAGGTGGCAATGACGATGACATAGACACAGAGGACGATCTCGATGACGTCGACGAAGATGAAGACGAAGGGGGTGGTGGTGACGGTGACGAGGATGGAGATAATCAGGTAGTTCCTCTGTCCTCCACACCACCTCCGCCAGCTTCAAACTCCTCGAGTAGTGAAGAGTCAATTAGCAGATGTTTTAGCAGCAATAGAGTTATTTCTGAAACGGCGAGCACACTATCGTCGAAGCGAAAGCGTGAGGACGCATCGGATCTTAATTTCCAGGTTCTCTTTTCCCCCTTAATTTTAATATAATTTTACATATGTTCCTTGATTTGAAATTCATTTTCCTGGACGGGGGAAAAGAACTTGGCGTGAATAATGGGATAGCGTTTTTTGATGTTTGATGTCCAAAACAGGATGGTTGGAAGTGGTGGTGTAATAAAGAGAGGAAAGGTGGAGAGCTAAAAAAGCAGGTGGCATGGTTGGAATGTGAAGGCGGCGAAGGAACGTCGAAGGAATCGCCGAGAGGTGGAGAGATCGGACCGGCTACCGCGAAGGGGTCCAACGATGCGAGAACGCCGGAGTCCGTTTGATCGCGGGATTCGGGGTATCATAGCTGCACGATCGAGATGGTAGCTTCAGATATTATTATTACTGAATTCTTGACTAACTATGTCTAACTACAGTCTTAGTTTTTGACCATTTGATTGATTGTATTCTTAATGATCGTTCTTGTCCAAAACTTCCAAGAAAAGAAGTCTGTTTAGTGACCGGAACTTTTCCGTTGCCTTCATTCATCTTTCGTGTGAATTGTAGAAAAAATAACCAGACATTTTTGCTTGAAATGCCGCCGTGTTGACTAAGAACCACGGGGGAAATGTTAAGAACCAATTGATCGCTGCTACCCGACTGCTTTCTATCAAATCAAATAATTTGGGTTGATTTGTTTTTAATCAGGAATATATTTTAACTGTTCCCGTCAAAATGATTAAAGCCATATGGGCAACCCATTGGGTATCACGCGTCAAATGATGTTGCGCTTTAATGTGACACGGTGAACCAGCGAAGCAAACGATATTCCGGAGTCACCGGAGTATATTATCTGCTAACTTTTGAATTGGTAAAATGTTTTGGTATTCAAGACGTCAAAGGACGCAACCCGCAGTTTTGAAGATTTTTACATGTATCCACGGGGCACAGCCATGTCCCCGGTCCGTCGTATTTGCCTCATTTATGGCTTATTTTAAGAGAGATATTTTTATTTGTTTATTAATCTGATCCCGGGAGCACACATACGTGGGAACTCATCCTCCTTACCCAAAGACGATTGATTAGGTTGGATAATTATGATGGTTAATTGAAAAAAGTAATTAACTAATCGCATGAGGCAACTATAAAAATGAGGGGCGGGCCGGGCATCGCGATCAAAATGAAAGGAGAACCTTTTAAGCACATACATCAGATGGGAACTGGACATTTTAAATGGAAACCAGACACGAAGAGGTGGTACTTTATGGATTAAGAAATGATATATATGATAGGAAAGTCGTAGTGAGGAGATTTATGGACCTCACAAGAGGTTGTGGAGGAGGGAGGTTGTCTCAGGAATCAGCAAGCTGAGCGCTGAGACGAGAACACATGGTCAGGAGTGAGGAAGCGAGTCTAATCACATTATTTAAATGGCCAGATATTTTCCCTGTGCTTAATTTAATAATAAGCGCTGAGATGGAATGGAGGCAGCCGCTGCGGCAAGTTTGAAAATGTTTAATTAAAGAATTGTTTTGATTTTGAGGGACTAAACAGGAAAAAGGAAAGCGGAGAGAGAGAGAGAGAGGTTGAAGCGGCCTTCGCTTACTTGTTTGCGTGGCCGACATTCGTTTCCCCGGTGAGCTTGTGTGGTGCTCCTTTCGTCCTTCTCTTTCTTCTTTCTTTTTTAAATTTTATTTTCTTTCATCGCTGTGCTGTGCACTGACACACACACCCCTTCTGAAATTCCCCTACCTTCACGCGAAAACGACAAAAGAATTTACCTTCCATTTTTGACATCAACTTTTCCGGCTAAACAAACATCATATTAAATTAAAAGGCGGGGAATGAATTGGGTAAAAAGGATGGGAAAATAAAATTAAAAGGTGAATCGTGGATAATAATAAAAAGGCAGAGGGATGAATTAACAGGAAGGAGATTTGATTGAATGAACGGCGGTGGGAGCCGAAAGGCTGAGAGTGGAAATCATGAATAATGAATGAGAGAGCAATGGAAGAATCGCGTGAGGCGACTTTGTGTGGCTGCTTGGTAGCCACTCGGTTTTCGTGAGGTGGCGAAGCTCCGTGGAGCATCCAGCCCCCGGTTTTTGGCTTTTATAAGGTCAGCTCCAACATGGAGCTTGTACAATATCAGTGAAGCACGCCTCTGAGACCCAAAACCCCCCCCCCTTTTTTCCATCGTTCATTTCAATTCAAATAATTATTAAAAGAAAAAAGCTGCTTTGGATGCGGCAACTTCCCATTCTGAAAAGGATGGCTCTGCTAAGCTGCCTGCCACTTTTGGGCAACCTTCCAAACCACAATAACTGTCCGTCCGTCTTAACAGCAAGGTGAATAGTTGGCCGAGAAAGACAATAGGACCGAATCAAACCAAGCCCACAAACTCTTCTTCCTTCTATTACTATTCACTGAAAGGTTCAAAGAACTGTGAAACCGGTAGACGACAACATGATGGCGAGTGGGTTGATTGAGGAGGACTATCCAAGCAACGCAGAGTTGGAGGAGGACGGCTGAAAAACATTGGCCAATCAATTTGTTTGGTCATCATTGATTTCTAGGCGTTAGGTGACGAAGCAGCAGTTACTCGGAACATCACTTTTTTTTTTTTTTTTTGACCAGAGGAACATGAAGTAATACATAAACCATGATAAGAAACACGTGGAGATTACTTTGTTGTCTCATTATTAAACGATGCCCACGAAATACGGAAATAGGGTAGGAGCACGTTCACAGATGATAAGCATCGAGCGTGTTCAGAATTAAGCTGCTAGAACAGAAGCATTTTGACTGCCAGTCATTCACATTTTATTTATAATTAGGCGCCTCTGTGGGTGCACGTGGATAGGTGAAAGTCATTCTTCTAATATTACAAAAGACATTGGGGGGGGGGGGGGACAGCAGGCATTGGTCTTTGGTGATCCAAAAAAAAGAGCAAAACGCGGGGGGTGTATTTGTGGGTTTAAACAGCGAGGTTCAAAGCCCAATAGATTAGGCCCCCTCAGAAGCGTCCAGAGTATGGCCCAACTGTTGCTTCAAAATCTCACGGGCTCATCCATGAGACTTCTAAATAGGGAAAATACAACTTTTAGTCCCTGAAATTTAAGACTAGAGGTATTAGTCCCGTTACAAAACGTTAGTCCTGAGAGTCATGTGTTGTTACAGTTTGTTGAGGTGGTACAAACGGTGTCAACTATGATGATTTTTGGCTTCTGACTTGGCAACATGAGGTGGCATGGGAGCTAGATATCTAGTATGGAAAATTTAAAAAAAAGAAAAACAAAGAAAGAAAGAAGGTGCCCGTTTAAAGAAAAAGACAGAGGACCCATATCAGATACTTGGGGGGAACAGAGGAAAATGACAGTGCTGTCGATTAGGGCATAAACAATGGAACAAAACGATCTGGCGAGGGGCTAGTAGGCGAAGGGAGAACGAGTTCTAGCAAAGCTATAGTGGCAGAAGGAAAGAGGAGACCCGGAGAAAGTTCACTGGGTGAAGGAAAGTTGGGCAAAGGGAAGTGGAAAGCTTTGCAAGGGGGAGAGGAGCTCAACCGAATTGAAGGCATATAACTGAGACGTAGCTAGAGCTTAATGAAATTACCTTTCTCTGAACTGTTTTTCTCCAATATATATTCAAGAACTACCCTTCTCTAATGCATATTCGAGAATTAATAGGTAATATATATGACGCTGTATGTATAATATATATACATATATATCATAATAGGTAATAACACAAATGAATATGCAAGTCATAACAACATCTACATGCATATGTATATTCCACCTTGAATATACTAACTAGGGCTGTGCAAAAACTCGGTGGTCCGGTATGGTCCGGTCCAACCCGAGCAAACCCGGTCCAGAAAAAATTGGCCCGAAACAAGACTGGACCAGACTGGACAGAACTAGTCTCATCGGGCTGGACTGGACTAAGGACTGGCCCCTTAGACTAGTTAATCCAGTCCAGTCTAGCCCATTTTTTTTTAATTATTATTTATATAATTTTAATTTGGTTTAATTTTTCTATATAAATTTTTTGTCTATTCAAATAATCAAGATTTATTTATTAACTTCATAAATAATGAGCATGCATATATATTTTCTACAATATAAGATCTATATTAATGAGGATTAATTGATAAAACATGACATTATTGGGAAATTGAAAGAGAATGATTAAATTTGATGAACTTTGGATTAAAATATGTACAAAATTTTATATAGTAAGTTACAATCTTGTCTCCTATTGAAGGAAAAAAATTTAAAAAAATTAAATTTAGGTCCTAAACTACTTGGATTGGTCCAGGCAGTCTAGAGGACCAAGTCCAGTCCAACCCGACATCGGGTTGGTATTGGACTGGACCAGACCTCAGGCTGTCTTTTTCAGCCCGAGGTCTTTATTGGACCAGCTCCGGGTTGATAACAAACCCGGTCCAGTCTGATCCATGCACACCCCTAATACTAACCACATAAACCATAAATATTTACCTGCAACGAATTCTATTAAGTTGCCACCAGAAACAAGTGCATGTTTTGGTAGTAAGGTCAACCCTGAACCTATGAGTATTGAATGACACCTCAAATCAATTGTCGCCCACATATCTAACCTCCCATTTATGATATTCTTACACTTTTTTATCCAGTCTTTTCCAAGGTCGCGGGCAAACAATCCCTTTATTACGATACTTATCAGCCTTGACATGATTTTTAACAAAACAAGTCATTAGATATTTTCAAATCCAATCAATACGGATGCTCAAACTGATAGGTCAGTGCTCTATAATAAAATAAAATCAAATGAGCGCCCTCTTGTTGCTCATGCCAACAACTTCCAGAAAAAACTGAAAACAGAGCATGCACGAAGACACAATACTGAAAAGGATCAAAGATCGAAGCAATTAAATCGGTTAAAATCCAACGAAAACAATAAACAACTATACGGCTAACTAAAGCAAACAACTCTAAACCAAACATGCAATTGATGGATCAATCACCGTTCTCATCCTTCCCCTTCTCCAGCCGACTCCTTACTTTTCTCAAACATGGGTTAATCGACTATATACAAAACACATATTACTTCTTCACATTTCAACGAATGATTGAAGAACCAAATGGTGGGTTCAATTTTGTAGCACCACCATTGTCAGAAATGCTGCTATTCCAGTGAAGGCCACATCACTCTTCACCGGCAGGTGTGGGTCCTCTTTAACCTAGCGCCTTTCCCGTTGCTTTCTTCTATTCCATATGCACTGTCGTTTTTCTCTACTCCCCCACAAGTGTCTAATGTGGGTCCTCTGTCTTTTTCTTTAAACAAGTGCCTTCTTTTTTTTCTTTCTTTGTTTTATTTTTTTTATTTTCCACATCAGATATCTAGCTCCTATACCACTTAATCAACTCATATTGCTAAGTCAGAAGCCAAATCATCATAACTGACACCATTTGCACCACCTCAGCAAAATGTAACAGCACATGACTCCCAGGGACTAACCATTTGTAACGGAGTAAATTCCAGAGACCAATACCTTCGGTCTTAAATTTCAGAGACCAAAACCTAAATTGGCCTAAATTTGAGGGACCAAAAGTTATATTTTCCCCTTTTAAATATTACCTCCGGTCCTTAATATACAAACTAGTTAACT